ACTCCTCTTAAAGAATGATTCAATTTGCTCCTTCTTCTTCTTTATGTCATGTATAGTTGCACGGCCGATATTGTATTCCTTAGACAGATGAGCCAACTTTTCACCCTTTTCCAAACGTTTTAAAATCGTATACTTTTTATCTAAAGTCAGCGTTACATGCTTACGTTTTCCCCGACATCGCACTACACTTATAGATTGTATACCATATACATACACTGCACAGTACTGTACTCACAACACTACCTTCACACAACTCACACGCCACACACTGTATGCAACTACCCGTAGCAGACATCAGTCGTCAGTGTACTGCTATTGTTAAATATGGACACTCACGTTTTCAAGTCTAGACATAAAAATGTACTGACACCAGGTATAACGTTACCTATTAAGACTTTTTAGTTACGTCTTAGAAAGTTGAAGTAAATTATTTTACTGTGCAATTTGCAAACTAGTGTATTTTGAAGTAAATTAGTCAAGCGTATGTTAAGCAGTAGGATATGGCTTAAATCAAAGGAATTGAACTTAGAATGGCTGAAAAAATAATGAAGTTTTGTCTTCCAATTTGAAGTTTATTGTTGTGTTGAAGGAATGATTAACGTGAAATAACCACATTGTCTAAATAATAAACGATTCATGATTAAAGGGAAAACCTCTGCTTTGTTTTGATTTCAAAACATATATTAAAGTTTTATTCTACACTTTTTTTGTAAATTTATAAACATTCATATTTGAGATTTATTGTAGTGTTTAATCAATATTTTGTAATTTATATGGAGTGGAATAACCTCCAATGGCTACTCTTAGAAAACAACCTGGGAATAAAGATTAAATAGGTTCGTACCGTACAGGTTCATTAAGTAAGTACTATGACAAGTTCCAACGGGCGGAAAAACAATATTGTTTGGTTTAGATTTTAATTAGGTACTGCATGTTGCTCTAAGCAAAAAAGGTTCAAATAATATAGCTTAGCATGCATGGTAGTAAAGGGAGCATCCATATATAGTAAAACCTAGAGATAGTTTCCGTTTCTTAAAACTAACCAAAGATATGCATGTTGAAGATGCTGGTGAAAAGTAATTTAGTAATTGGTTACGATAACAGGGCAATGGAACCCTAAACAGTCGCAAAATAGTTAGTAATCAGGCGTTGATTAGACCTTTTTTTGTAGAATATGCAAAGTGAATCGCACCTTTAGGAGGAATACCACTACATAAACTTACACTAGGCTAATAGTAGTTTTATTATTGTTGATCAGATACAAATCTATGTTTGGTCAATGGGATGCCTTTACTTAACACTAATTTTGTTAAAACTTTACAAAAGGAGTATAAACTTAGAAATAATAATAACTGGGTCGGGGTGCTAATTTAGCGGATTTGACCAAGAACTAAGCTTATCTCAACACGCCTTTATTTGACTTTTCATACTTGACAAAGACAATTTCCCATATTTCAATCAGGGAAGCCTTTTTATCATCATAAACCAAAAGACCATGGCTACCTTAGTAAACCAATCCACATACATGTTTGCTGCCATTAGCAAAGTTAAACCTCTGGAGGCATTCAAATTATTTATTGAAAAATAACATCAACAAAAGCAAACAAAGAAAAATGACAAACTGTTTTTTACACAAACAGTTTGTACAGTTGTACAGGGATACCTATCCTAGCACATAGATAATTTGATTCTGAGTTTTGTTTAAATATTATAATAATTTGTTTTACATTCGAGCTTTTTAGGGACTTATGTCCCTACAAGCCACTAGTTATTCATTAATGATCTGCCAGAAGTGTTAGAAGGTGGGTGCAACTTTGGTGGTCAGAGGGTCAATATGCTGAAGTATACAGACGATATAGTGACTATAACTCCGACAGCTACAGGTCTGCAGCACATGATAAATAGGCTAGAAAATTACTGTGAAATATGGAACCTCAACCTCAATTTAAATAAATCAAAAGTCATGGTATTTAGGAAAGGAGGGAGGCTTGGAACAAATTGTCAATGGTGGTACAAAGGCAAAACAATAGAGGTAGTAAACAGTTATAAATATCTAGGGGTCGATTTTACTCCGTCTTTGTCGTGGAACTTATATTTGCATCAAAAGAATATTATGACAAAACTAGCAATTAATTCAATAAGGGCTAGATTCATAAGGGGCAGTAAGATTCCGCTAAGCTCAGAAATAGTTTGTTATAACGCAGTTTTAAAATCGATTTTATGTTATGGGGCACAAGTGTGGGGCTTTTTGGAATCAAAAACAATAGAGAATGCACAAAACTTTTTTCTTAAAAAATTATTTCGTCTACCTAGAAACACTCCCAATTATGTGTTATATTTAGAAACAGGTTTCGAGAAATTGCATATTTATACATTAGCGCTACATATCAAGACAATATTAAAAGTTTTATTACTCCCAGAAAATAGACTCCCACATATTCTTGCTAAACAAATTATTTCAAAAAATATTTTCTGGTGCAAGCAATTAAAATCGATTGGGTGCAAAAGAGGAATGACGATAGATTTTAATATTGATGATTTAGACTCACTCAAGACACAGCTGTTTGGTCTGGTAGAGGTAGAGCGGCGCGCATGGAAGGGGGAGTGCGAGGGGAGAGCGATAACGTCTTTGTACCACCAACAATATATCTCTCTTGACCTTGAGCTCGGCGACAGACCCTTGCTCACTGATAACTTGGACATTTCCCTTATATCCTGGATTATTAAGGCCAGAGCAGGACTACTGTCAATAAATTATCAACCTTGGATAGAGAATAAAAATTACATTTACTCTCTATGCAATAATAGGTAAATTGAATCGGTGTTAATTACGTAGCAGTATGCCCAATTCTAAAGAATATCAGATATTTTTGGCTAAAAGCACATTCTTTGAGTGAAGACGGATTCTTAGATTATTTAAATGGAAGGGATTGGCGGGCTTTGGGTGGTTTTTTAAGAGATGCTTGGAGTGTAAGATGGGATCCAATACAGGAGTTTAACTTTTAGACAACTGAAAAAAGCAAGTAATCTCAAAAAGTATTTTTTCCTTGTTTGTGACTTTTGTTATCAATTCTGTTTATAGATAGATCTTTTAATGTAAAAAATGTATTTTATGTTAAGTTTATTATTCTATTTTCAGTCTTTTGTCAAGGAGTTACTTTCTGTTATTTATTTAAAACATAAATTAATGTGTCAACCAAACAGACGGTTTAGTAACCATTGTTTTAGTGTGCACATAAGTATGTATCATTGTGTAATGTTCCAAATTGTACAATAAAGCACATTTCATTTCATTTCATTTCAAAAAGTTGAAATTCGCTTAGTTTGCAGGTTTGCTGCGGCGGGGATATTATTTAAATTTAACTGTTAAACATGTTTTCCATCATGGAGAAGAATATTTGATTAGCCTATGTCATACAGATAGGTAGGGATGGATGGGTCTCAAACTTTTGGACTATTTTCAGGGAAAATATATTTCTATTTTATTTTTATTTAAAATATCAAAAGGACTAACATACTGCTCTTGTTAGGTCCTATTAAATTGCATAACCGAATATATAAAAAACTGATAACTCGGTCGTTTGTCATCCGATTTTAACAAACAAGGTGTCATTTGATTTGGATTTAAATTCTCTATCTTTTTTATCATTAAAAAATGTTCTTAATATTTTTCATGAAATTTGGCATTACAGATTTTTAAATGGCCGCCATATTGAAATGGCTTGAGATATTGGAACAAATTTGTTTAAGCTCTTTTTACTTTATAAACTATAAGCTACATTTATACAAATTTTAAAATTTCAAACTTGAAAAATGCCCAATATATAAAATAGTTTTAAAAAATCACAAACAGACCGACAGACAGAAATATAGGCATTTTAGACCCTTACTTATATGGCATTTTATGTTTGTAGCCAAAGGAACAAGTCCACAAATTATGTCCAGACAATTTGGAAAGACCCTGAATAGTTTCTTTAGTTACTGTGATATAACAATATTTTGAAAGTTGAGAATAAAAACTTAGAATGACGCAACTACGTGTTTAGCGCAGTGTGATGTAAAATTCACTCTTATATTTTTTACATACAAATAATAATAAATATGACTTTTATAATGTAAAGAACCATTTTCTAAAATTTATATCTTGGATGTCTAATAAAAAATCTTTTGTATTTTTCACAAGCCTCAACTTTGGAAAAATTATACAAGCCCATTTTCTTTTTTGTTCTTAAAAGTAAACAGTTCTACACAATTTGTTGGTATCTTTCAATGGTTTAAATTTGTTCCTTATAATGTCCTGAAAAAGAAAATATATCATAGTACTCATACAGCTTACCTATGTACCTACAGGTAACCTATGTATATACAGTAAAAAATGGCCTGCAAGAATCAGACCACCCGTGCACAACAGTTTGGCCCAAAAAGTGTTAAAAAACTACCGTTTTTATTGAAAACCCGCCATTTAAATGTTATTTAGTTGTTTACAATTTTAAAATGTCACTTTAGGCACTTTTCTTTCAATGTTGGGATCATTAAAAGTACTTTGCTAGTTCTTACCGTTTTTGAGTTATAGCCATTAAAAAAAATTCAAAAAGGGGGGATTTAAGAGAAGTTTTTGGAGGGGTAGTAACTATTTGGATTTTCTGGATGGTTTGGGACCGAGACGGACCTCCACAAATATTTTCAGATCATTAGCTATTCTAGGAGTGGGTAAACATTTGTATACCTGATCAGTGAGTCAGTGAGTTACACAAGTGGCTGTATACGGGTTCTCGTTTCTAACCTTAAATAAAGAAAACGGGTTTCTTGTTCTAAACGTTAAATGGTCTGATTCACCCTGTATAGATTAATACTGAATAATTTAAGTGGGCTGGAGTTTAAACAAATTGACTTACTCACTAGCTTGAAGACCATGTTTGAATATCTTACCAATGATATTTTTTTATCAACCCAATAAGATGATGCTACATATTGTTTTATAAATAGAGAGACCTACAAACCTTTATAATTCCAAAATTTGACAGGAGGTTTTAAAGTCCGCCCGTGACGAGAGAAGGCAGTGACTGTTCCATTCAGCATGGAAGCATCCTTCTGTCCCTGATTTAAGGTACCTGGGTAAAACAATTAGTTTTTAACTAGATGTTTTTCAACATTTGATTTTTGCCTGAAGATAAAAATAACAAAAAATACTGATAGTGGTATAATTCATTTTTCTATTGCCAACTATCTGCCAAACTACTATTACATAAAAATCTAAAGGCCTGTTCACACCGGCGTAGCCAGACGTCTGCAGACTTATTCGGTGAACTAGGATTGCTTTCATAGCAGTGAAAGCCAGTTGACCGGAGCAATCATGTTTCATGGTTTTTAGGCCTTAATGAAAAAAAATGTTTATAGAAAAAATACAAAATACAAATTTTTCCACACTCCGCACTAACTCCAACAACCCTTACTAATTTTCTTCACCACTTCCTACGTCATAGACCTTTTTCCCTCCCTTCCCATAGCATTTTAGGATTGCCGATACAATAATTTAACTGCCGCAAATGGTTCCCATACTCCACACTGCTCCCTTTACTACTGCCTTCACCACTTCCTACGTCGTGGACCTGTTTCCCTCCCTTCCCATAGCATTTTAGTATTGCAGATACATTAATGTAACTGCCACAAAGGGTTCCCTCACACCGGACTGTTCGCTTTTACCACTTCCTTGACCACTTTCTACGTCTTGGACCTGTTTCCCTGCCTTTCCATCGTTAGTGCATTTTAGTATTGCAGATAAATTAATGTAACTGCCACTAACGGTTCCCGCACTCCGCACTGCCAGCCGTTACTACTTCCTTCACAACTTCCTACGTTGTGCACTTGTTTCCCTCCCTTCCCATAGCATTTTAGTATTGTAGATACATTAATGTAACTGCCACAAACGGTTCCCACAGTCCGCAATTCTCGCCTTTACTACTTCCTTCACCACTTCCTAAGTCGTGGACCAGTTTAAGTTTGCCATTTATGAGATGGATCCATGAATGTGATTCACCGACAAATTGTTTAAGACAAATTATTATTTTATTTGTTTATAAAAAAATTATTAATTTTGCCAAACCTTATTTAGCTACGTAAATCAAATCTGTATAATACTGTACCTAAGAAAGTATCTTTCATCTATGACTGTACCTATTCGATCAATGGTCATTTCCAAATTGCGACTTAAAATTTTAACTAAGACTTTAATTAAGACTTTCTCTGTATTATTTGATTGTTGTCATTATCCAAATTCTTTTTCCTTTTTAATGTGTTAAGGCTGTGGCTTGATTTTAACATATGCTATGATTCTTAGATTTGTTTACATTTACGTCGTTATTTTATAACCATCATGACAACCCATAAGACCAATGTTAAAAATTAAAAACTTTTAGTTACTTTTAAATTATATAGGCATTATCAAAAATTTAAATTGGTTACATCTAAACCATCCAAACATTTGACAAAACAACCTTGGTAAGTTTGGCTATAATATGTTTAGCCCTTATTGAGATTAAGTGTTATAAAGATTGCATTGAAGTTGATCCCAAAGAGGTTCGCTTCACTCCGCTCAATTAATATGTCGCCCGTGTACTGTTCACACTGCAGCTACGTCTGACGGCTACGTAGCCGGTGTGCCGCCGCCGCTTTTTTCCCTCCCCGCCCTGAAAGCGCCACACTCCATATATTCATCATCCCAAAGATCTAAATGAATCCCTTCAATTAATCGAAGAAGAAGTTTCTCAAATGAATATTTTTCATTGTTATCAATTTATACACTTATACCATAAAACAAAAAGCCTTTTCATTTATACTTTTTAATCGTTATCGTAACTTTTTGGATCCTGCCTTTTTAGTTCTTACAATATATGGCTTTGAATTCACAACAACTGCTCACATCTGGCTACCCAAGGTCTAACCCACATAATTTGCCTTTTGTTTATTCGATTTTGTGGTAGACGTAGATTAGAGACTATCCGTTAGACTACTATCCGATAGACTATCCGATTAGAGACTACGTAGATTAGAGATCGATTTTGTGGTTGGTAGATTTTGTGGTACAAACGTAACAAAAACGATCAGATATCATAGAGCTTAAACCAGTCCCAAAAGCAAACAATTGTTATTTATACATTTTGACACAACAATGTGGTCAAATTAATATGACAGTGTAAATGGCAAAACATGTTTGTAATATTTACACAATAATTGTTCATCATACCTATATCATCATATATCTAATAATAAATATATAACTGTGTAATACCGGCTTTATGAATAATATTGAAAAGTTTAGATCATATTACAGCTTTTAAGGCGACAGTGACAGTGCGTGAACACTCTTTAAATAACATTAAGAGCTACGTCAGCTACGTATTCCGAAAAAATTGTAATACGTCTGGCTACGCCGGTGTGAACAGTCCCTAATGGTGTCTCACACTATGTGTGTACCAATACAAACATATTTTTAGGCTACTAATTTTAATTTTTTTTGCCAATTGCACAATAGAAGAAGAAATCTGATTCAATAAACAATTTTTTATACTTTTATTATTTATACTTTATTATTCTTATACTTTTACTTACAATCTTTAGAGGCAGGAGCTGCTACTCTGAAACCAAAATCCATTTTATGGACATTTTCAAAGGCAACTACAATAGTTTAGGACTCATTATAATTTTATTAATAAAATAAAATTACATGTTGAATGTTGATACAAATTTAAAGGATAGTCTCTAATAACCTCAAAATGAATGCCAATTATTGTAATACTGTACTGTATTATAGTAAATCAAACTAACTAATAAACAAACTATACGTTTGCCAGAATTTCCCTAAAATTTAAATTGGATCATTATGTTGATTCAATATGTAATGTAGTTTTGGACCACCCTTTATGAAAATAATTTTATGTCAATGTGCTGGAAGTTTGCCATCAGTTTAATTGGTGAGACCACTGATATAATATGTGGTTGGTTAAATGTACTACCTACAAAATCTATATTTAGGTCATCTCTACCAAGCTAAGTCCAGGGTGTCCACAGCTTAACCAGAAAAAAGCATGAGTAATTCAGGTAGTTGACGTCATACTTTTCATAACAAACTTTCCAACAGGTTTTCGCGCAATGCTGTTTTGAAACAGTTTGCTATTTTTTAGTTATCAAGAAAAGCTTACTCAGTTAAAGGAACAAAATTTGTGATTACTGTTTAGTATTGACAGACACAAGTATGCAATCTTTAAAATATGAAAAACTAATTCCTAATCCCACAATTTATGAATAACTCATAAAAAATAGTAATGTAGGCTATCGATGCCAAAACTAATTGATTCTCCATACATACCGATACCATTTATACAATTTTACCAAATTTTCTATTATGGATTACTACACCAACCCCTGTCTTTAAGTAGTATGTTATATGCTGAGTTGGTTTAACTTATACTGTTGGTTTTAAATTGCCAGCTGTTAGCAAATCTATATATTTAATACGCTAGGCATATTTTTGTCATAATTGTTTTGGAGTGATGGATCACCATGTCCGTCCAAGGTGTCGTTAGAAAGGTTTTAACATGTAGTTTTGCCATCAAACAAAAAAACTTTGGAATTCCATCAGGACTCTGCCCCAGTGGCCTTTAAAGTTCCTATGTTATTCTTATGGAGAAAATGTTTGTTTACATTTTAAATTTTAAAAGATGAATACTTTGAAATTGACACTAATATTGTAACAGCTGGTTATACTAAAATTGGAGACATGTGCTATAAGGATTTATTAGATTAGTTAAAAAGATTGATGTTTCACTGTTTTTAAACCAGTTTTTATTTGCACAAAATCAAAACATAACCAAAAAACGTTCAACATAATGGGGACTATGAGACGTCGACCAGGACAGCCAATAGTAGGAGACCGACGAAATTTAACTGGTAGACGTGAACTAAATACAAAAAATACTATTGTCATTGATAGCCGAATACAGCAAACACCCTTCTGTGTTGGGTTTTAGTGTGCTCTCCAACAGCCGCCTGAAGATTTCGCATTCTATTTAGAACTGTTGGACAATCGCTGCATAAGCTGTTGATTTTTGAAGACAAGGAGGCGGGTAGGACTACATCGGAAACAGAAGATAGTAGACATTAGATGAGCAAATGCGTTGGTAGCAGAGTAATTTATGTTAACGTTTTAAAGGTAAACATTCAGATATCTAATATCAGAAAGAGACTGGAACAAGATTGGGAGATTGGTCATTATGAAACGCAGTTTGTCACATGACAAGTACAATTTCAAGGCGAACTTGTGGAGATTTCACCTGGTGGAAGAGGAAGTATGTAGATGTGGAGAAATAAAAACCACGAGTCACGTATTTATAAATTGTTCACTTCAGAAGATAAATAGGAGAAAACAGGAATAAGTCTTGGATAAGAGAGGTCTAGAGATGAGAAAATAAAACATGATGAGTGACAAGGAAATATATAGTAAGTTAGGCTAATATTACGTATATGTTTGAACATTACACCTTCAATTTTTTTTGTACAAAATTTTCTATAGGCCTAGTCTGCAAAAAAAAAACATTTTTAAGTTGTGAATAGAAAGATGCTAAAAAATACTACCGCAGCTTAAACCCTGGGCCTAGGCCTACTCAATGCGCAACTACTCGACTCGACTCGATACTCGAGTTTTTACTCAAATACTCGACTCAAATTGAAAAATCACTACTCGCCCACCCCTATCTGGTTCATGAGATTATTGTCAAAAATGTTTTCAATCAATAGAAAAATCTTCGATTGTCTAATACAATACAAAATAATACAAGTGCAGAAGGGCACAGTGCCCATTTGAGCTGTGTCCATATTTTGTTAAATGAATAGTAGTTTACAGCAACTGGATAAAACATTTTACAATATTTATGTAGAATGTGTTATTGAATTATGTGTAGGATTTAGAAAGTCATTAAGCTGGAATACTGCACACTTTTCAGAGAGTTTACTTTGATGTATTCATTCAGCTTAGTGAAAACGTAATATAGATATGTATACAAATAAGAACTTGAACTCTTAGAGAGCCTTCGAATGTTATTAGACTAACGAAAAGGGTTGTGCATGTTTAGCACTACTCAGCAACAAAAACCATTAATTTATCTCTAAAATATATATTCTTAAAGTGCATTGAGCAGCAGTCTAAAAAAAAATCTATTTAACTTACCCATATAGTTACAAAATGCTCAAACTCGCATTGTGACATTTATAATTCGGCTTATATTTCTCCAACGGTTTTTTGATCTGATTGGATATTAATTTTTGAGGATAGCCTCTTTCAATGAAAGCAGAATTTAATTTAGTGATATATTTTTCAAAATCTGATTTTTCACTGCAGAGTGTTTTAGCACGAATTGATAAGCTTTTTGGATTTGATTTTTTCATATACATAGGGTGACAACTTTGATAATGTAAGTACTGCATTTTGTTAGTTTCTTTTAAATGAATTTAAGTTGTTTTAAGTTTTTGATTGTCAATGAAGACATCAACATCTAAGAAAGAAACAATTTTGTCTGAATAATAATATCCTCAAAAATTAATATCCAATCAGATCAAAAAACCCAAAAAACACAACCAAGATAATAGTTTTTCAAGTGATCCTAAATTTATTACTCAATACTATCCTTGGCTACAAAAGATTAAAAGAACAGTGTAATAAAAGTAGCATTCAATATTTTGAAATCTTCCCCCAGTACTGAAAATTTATTTTCCAGACCACCACATGTTATTTAAGGCCACAAAATTTAAAAAATATGTTGGTGAGACCCAAAATTCAAAATTCTCGGCCTTCAAACAATTTTAAACATGGCTGTGAATCCATTTCAATTTTAAACATGGCTGTGAACCATGTCACAAGCCCCGGTGTGGTATTTGCAAAATTATGAGTAATACAACTGAACTTGATAGTAAAGTTACAAACAAGGTTTATCCGATTGTTGGTAGATCAACTTGTGAATCTCACAATGTGATTTATAAACTATCGTGTAAACATTGTCCAAAAGAATACATTGGCCAGACTTCAAACTCTTTAAGAGTTCGAATGACAGGCCATTGTTTTGATGTGGTACATGAAGACAAAAGAAAACCAATCTATAATCATGCCGCTCACCACAACCAAAATGTTGAAGGCTGCTATAACCTTAAAGCCCTTCACAGAGTAAACCCACATCAAAACCCTAAATACAACCAACTGGTCTTAAGAAATTCTGAATTGGCTCACCAGTTGGTACTGAAATCAAAGTTCCCCTCTGGTTTAAATGTAAGATAGCAAAAAAGTGATTCAACTCAGCTAAATTCTAATTTTCTTTTAGGCTGATTTTATTATTTTCTTTGATCTGTACTCAACCATATGTTTTAAAAATTCAACTATTTGTAAACAGTTCATATTTATTTGTTTTGTTCATTTTAGCGAATTTCCCATATAGGGAATAAGCTATTACCGTAGTACTCAAGGTAAGACCTGGACCCGGGACCGATTTTTTTTTTTCGTTTTGAGGTCCCTAGAGGTCAAAAACACCATCCGTTCAAATTCATATATATATATATATATATATATATATATACGTGGGTTATCCAGAAAGTAAAGAACGTTTCGTTATGACGCCGCTAGGCGTGCGCTGATCTCGTACATTTTGGTATGTGCGTACTCGGCAACTCAGTCGGCATCCAGCCGTGACAATTTGAGCATTCTAGCGCTGTCCGTTTTTCACAATTTCAACTTAAGATGAGCGCTGCAATAAAAAATCCCGCCAGTTAAGAGGTGCGGTCAGTGATACGGTTTGTGTTGGCATTAAACTTAAAATCGATAGACATTTATCGCCAAGGGTATGAAGTTCAAGGAAAAAAACGTAATGATTGAAAGTTCTGAGAAAATGGTGCATTCAGATTAAAAATGGCCGATCTGACGCTCATGAGTCATGACGAAGCGAAGGGCGGACGCCGAGCATTGTGACTGATGGAACTGGTCACTAAAGTTGATGAAAAGGTTTGCAAAAACCGCCGATTCCCGATAACGGGTCTTTCGCTTTGTTGCGTGACAATTTTAAACAACAAAGTCCGTGAAAATTGAGGAAAAGTTTCGGTTTTAAGTGTTTTCCAACAAAAACCGTATCACTGACCGCACCCCTTAACTGGCGGGATTCTTTATTGCAGCGCTCATCTTAAGTTGAAATTGTGAAAAAACGGGCAGCGCTAGAATGCTCCAATTGTTACGGCTGGATGCCGACTGAGTTGCCGAGTACGCACATACCAAAATGTACGAGATCGGCGCGCGCCTAGCGGCGTCATAACGAAACTTTCTTTACTTTCTGGATCGCCTAAGTATATATATGTGTCCGTTAGTGCGATAACTCGAGCAAAAATGATCCGATTTTGATGAAATTTGGTACAAACGTGTAAACCTACGTTTATTCGAACGAGTTCGCGAACCAGCATGATCGGACCATGGGAACGGGGGTTTATGGGGGCTTTTATGGGGTAAAAATGGGTTTTCCCCATTTTTGACTCAAAAAACAAAAATTTTGCAATTTCTTTCCAAACAATTTTGTAGAGCTTAAAAAAACAAATAATTTAGTATATT